AGAGCAGGAATGAGCTACTTCCATGAAACAGTATGGAAGGGTGTCCCAAAATTCTTGCGTCGAGTTGACACAGCTTTGAAGAACATTGGAATTAATGAACGTGTTCCCTATAATGCACCACTTATCCAATTTTCTTCATGGATGGGTGGTGATCGTGATGGTAAAATTGTACTTGAACTAATAATATTAAAGATCTACCATCTACTATGGACTAATTTTTTAATTAGTTAAAACTGGAGGTACTCAAATATCTTTTTGTGGGTGCTTCAGCATTTTTTATATATATGTAATGCAGGCAATCCAAGGGTAACTCCTGAGGTCACAAGGGATGTTTGTTTGCTGGCTAGAATGATGGCTGCGAATTTGTACTATTCCCAAATTGAAGATCTGATGTTTGAGGTATTAAGCTCGTGCCATCTAACATGTTCTATAGAAATTTTTCTAGAAGACCAATTTTAGGCAAGTTCTTATTCATGTCTTTGCAGTTGTCCATGTGGCGTTGCAGTGATGAGCTTCGTGTTTGTGCTGATAAACTTCTTAGATCCTCAAGGAGAGATGCCAAGCACTACATAGGTATACATATATTCTGGATATATGCTGGTTTCAGTTTTGCGTGCATTTTCTTCTGAATCTGGATTATGCACTGGGTTTTATGTTCATTTCACTTGAGTGATGTTAGAAAAAGTGTTATTTTTATCAGAATAATAATGAGAACAACAAGTAGGAAAGATGGAACTAAATTTTTTAGGGTTCTCCAATTCCCCACTAAGGGGCATGATTCTTCTAGATTTTATGTTCTATAGCATGCTCAAAGATTGAATTTAGACTTAATGCAAGTTGGAAATGGCAGTTTCTACAAATATTTTGTTCAAGTTTCTGTTATTATCGGTTAAGTTCAGGTTGATATTACTCTTGATGCAGAGTTTTGGAAGCAAATACCTCCCAGTGAACCCTACCGCGTGATTCTTGGTGATGTTAGAGACAAGCTGTATCAGACACGAGAAAGGTCTCGTCAATTGTTATCTCATGGTATATCTGAGATTTCAGAGGAAGCAACTTTCACCAACATTGAGCAGGTATCTACTTTTCCCTATCATGGTTTAAGTTTGGAATGCACCTACTTTTCATGAAATTTCCCTTTGTTATTCAACTCGCGTACAAGTGTCTGGTATGCATCCAAAACGGATGTGTTCAATTTTTTTTTTAAGTTTTTTCCCATGTATGTGAAAATCCTTGAAGGATCATACGGTTCTTGATTTGCATGAATAACATTTTCTTATGCCTTCTATTATTCAATAGTAACTTCTTCTTAACTGACCTTGGCACTAATTAAGTTTTCAATTTTATGCAGTTTCTGGAACCTCTAGAACTTTGTTATAGATCACTTTGCTCTTGTGGTGACCAGACGATTGCTGATGGAAGCCTTCTCGATTTCTTGAGGCAAGTGTCAACCTTTGGGCTCTCACTTGTCAGACTTGACATTAGACAAGAGTCTGACCGCCACACAGATGTCTTAGATGCCATTACCAAGCACTTGGAAATTGGTTCCTACAGAGAGTGGTCTGAAGAACAAAAGCAGGAATGGCTATTATCTGAATTAAGTGGCAAGCGCCCATTGTTTGGTTCCGATCTTCCTAAAACAGAAGAAATCACTGATGTTTTGGACACATTCACTGTCCTGGCAGAGCTCCCAGCAGACAACTTCGGAGCATACATCATTTCAATGGCGACTGCACCTTCTGACTGTCTTGCTGTTGAGCTCCTGCAACGTGAATGCCATGTGAAGCAACCATTAAGAGTTGTTCCACTGTTTGAGAAGCTTGCAGATTTGGAGGCAGCACCTGCTGCTTTGGCTCGGCTCTTCTCAATAGATTGGTATAGAAATCGGATCAATGGAAAGCAAGAAGTTATGATTGGGTATTCGGATTCAGGTAAAGATGCTGGGCGTCTCTCTGCTGCCTGGCAGTTGTACAAAGCTCAAGAGGAGCTTATAAAGGTTGCTAAGCAATTCGGAGTGAAGCTAACAATGTTCCATGGTCGTGGTGGAACTGTTGGAAGAGGAGGTGGTCCAACTCATCTTGCTATATTATCTCAACCACCAGAAACTATTCACGGGTCTCTTCGTGTTACTGTTCAAGGTGAAGTTATTGAGCAATCATTTGGAGAGGAGCACTTGTGCTTTAGAACGCTCCAGCGTTTTACAGCTGCCACACTCGAGCATGGTATGCACCCACCAGTTTCACCAAAGCCTGAATGGCGTGCACTGATGGATGAAATGGCGGTTGTTGCTACTGAGGAGTATCGTTCCATTGTCTTCAAAGAACCTCGGTTTGTTGAATATTTCCGCCTTGTAAGTGCACTTGCATTATTCTTAACACCATCTAAATTATTAAAAAGCAGTTTTTTATTGGATAATACTTTTTACTTTGGCTGCAGGCTACACCAGAGTTGGAGTATGGTCGGATGAATATCGGTAGCCGACCTTCAAAGCGGAAGCCAAGTGGGGGTATCGAATCCCTCCGTGCAATCCCGTGGATCTTTGCTTGGACTCAGACACGATTTCATCTTCCAGTTTGGCTTGGCTTTGGAGCGGCATTTAAACATGTGATTCAGAAGGACATTAAGAATCTGCAAATGCTGCAAGAGATGTACAATGCATGGCCTTTCTTCAGGGTGACAATCGATTTAGTCGAAATGGTTTTCGCAAAAGGAGATCCCGGGATTGCAGCCTTATATGATAAACTTCTTGTTTCTCAAGAACTGTGGTCATTCGGAGAGCGGTTGAGGATCAACTATAAGGAAACAAAACACCTTCTTCTTCAGGTACGATAACCGGAGCATTATACCTCCTATCATATATTTCCTGAGAAAAAAAACAATACAATTGTGAGACAAATCCAAATTCGCTTGTATTTCCAGATTGCTGGACACAAGGATCTTCTTGAAGGGGACCCCTACCTAAAGCAAAGACTCCGGCTGCGTGATTCATACATAACAACACTAAACGTTTGCCAGGCCTACACGCTCAAACGTATCCGTGACCCAAATTACAACGTGAAGTTGCGGCCGCATATCTGCAAACCAGCAGATGAACTTGTAAACCTGAACCCAACAAGCGAGTATGCCCCTGGTTTGGAGGATACCCTCATCTTGACCATGAAGGGTATTGCTGCCGGCATGCAAAACACGGGTTAAACCGACTTACCACTCGATACTTGTGCAAGTATGCATCGAAGAAGGTTGTGTTCAGCGTGAAAGAGCTTTCTTATAGTAAAAGGAAAAGCAGCGGATGCCATTTAAATTATCTTCCATAAGATCAAAGGTTTGATCCCCCTTGTAAACTTTATGGTTATGTTAGTGTTATTACACTTTTGATTTCATGCAATAAACCCTTCAAGGCTTTTGTGTTTCGTATACATTTTTTGGTCTTTCTAGATTATAGCTTATTGCTCATTTGCAGCCAGAGATGGTAAATTATATGAAATCGATAAATTTTGATTTAATCTAGTTTTTTACATTGATTCTTTTTAGTTTTTAAAATATTTAGAGGCAGTCCAAATTTAAAATGGTTTTTTTTATTTAAAATAATATTGTAATATTCCTTTTGTACATTTTGGGGAGTTATTATAATATATTTTTATATATATTTTTCTAATTATCTCTTTATTTTATCTGATAAAAATATTGTTTGTATTGAATCAAATTAAAGATGAATTTTTATGTTAAAAAATCAAACCAAATTCGAAGTGGCTAAAATTTTCTTAAACTTGAATCAGAGGATATATTAATTAGATTGGAGTATGATTGATTAAAAAACCTGATTCAATCCAACTTACGATCATTTTTATAAATAAACTTGGTTGATTTATATATATAATTTATTATTATTACATACATTATATTTGAGTTTCTTTCTCTCAAAAATGATTTTGATTCACTATTATATAGTAATATATTAAATAATTATTCATTTATCTATTTTTAATTATATCTTCATATAATTATATTATATGGAAATAAAAAAAATTAGAGTATGAAAATTGAAAATGTAATAGAAAATTATATATATATATATATATATATATATATATATATGTATGTATTAAAAAACCTTAATACAAAAATAAATGTTCAAAGTATATCTAAAATTAATTTTAGGTATCTAAATTATTTTTTCTTTAAAAATAGGTGATCAAAGTTTTTTTTATTACACTTTTAGGTGTTTAACGTTTCTGATGTTATATTTTTAGGTGCATAGATTGTAACGATTGTTAAATTTGACCGTTAAGTTACACGTGTTAGATATATAAAATTTAATTTTTAAAAAACTTAAAATTAAATTTTATTTTGAAAAACCTCGATATTTTTTAAAATTATAAAAATTCCAAAATCCCAAAAAATCCTAATTTCAATCCCATGGGACCACTGACCGCTACCAAAGCCATCAATCAATCGAATACCCAATGTTGTTCGACTGGCCAACCATCAAAACCCTTTATTTTAACAATCGATCAAACACCCAATAGTTGCGTAAAAACAAGATTTCATGATCAACTAAAGAGATTTTTCATGCTATAATTGTCGATTGGTCGCTATAATTAGAGGTTGGAGCAATTCAACTAATCTCACGCCGTTGGAATTTTGGCCGGTTGGAAGTGATCAAATGTGACAAAGGGATTGAAATTAAGTTTTTAAGGAAATTTAATTTTTTATAATTTCAAGAAAAATGAGTTTTCTTTTAAATATTTTTTTTAATATTTTTTATAAAATTTTATAAAATTGACACGTGTCATTTAACGATCGAATTAACGACCATTACAATCCAAATATCTAAACATATAATATTAACAACGCTAGACACCTAAAAGTATAACAGAAAAAATATTAAATATTTATTTTTTTTTAAAAATACTCTAGGCACTTAAAATTAACTTTGGGCTATTCTTACTTTAAGCCAAAAAAATAAAATAAAAAATGACTTGATTAAGAAGAAAAGCATAATTCTGGACCTCCCTTTTTCCTGAATTTTCTCGCACCCACTGCTCCCCTCTTGTAAAAAATCAACAATTTTCTTCTCTTCCCCAGAAAAGCAACACTCGCTGAGTCACTTCCCACTCTCAAACCCGAGAACAGTAAAGAGGTAAATTCCCCAAAAAATGTCTCTCTCGACTCGACAAAGGCGAGCGACGGTGTCGGATATTCCGTCATCGTCGCCACCACAATCTTCGAAGCCAGAATCATACACGAAAGAGGACAAACCAGGACGATCATCATCATCTGACAGCGTGGGGGAAGACCGTGTATTGGGGTGGTTCACGGTGTTGTTTGCTTTGGGAATGCTACGGTACATGAGCGCCACATCGAATATAATACACGACTGCGATGGAGTCTTCAATTATTGGGAGCCTCTTCATTATCTTCTCTAAAAATCCGGATTCCAAACTTGGGAGTATAGGTAAAAGCGCCTACATACGAATTCAGCCTTATTTTATACGTACTTGCCCGTAAAATTTACTTGGTTGTACTCAATAAAATGTAAGCTGATCTAAAAATGTGATTCTGGATTAAATAGAAAAAATAAATTTATCTTTGAAGTATAAAAAACTTGGACCTTTTGTTTGTTGAGTATGGTTATTTATTATTATTTTTAAGTAGTCAAGTACCAATCAAAGGATGCCTTGAGTTTTTGTGTTGATTTTAGAGGTATTTATGCTTTATTTAGCGAGTGAGAACTGGAAAGCGAGGAACTTGAATGTAATTCTTTGGGAAATATGATGCTGTTATTATTTGTGAACTATTGAAGTAAGAAATGAAGTTAGTCAGCTACTGCTAGGTGATGTATGAATTTCATGCGTATGGTCTATGGATCAATGAATATATGTTTTTGAGCGTGTTAGATCATAGATGGTGCTTGCGTTTATCAATAAGGATTGGGGTAGATTTTCTTTAAAATAGGTTTGAATAGAGTTCAGTGATTAGCTTTTAGTTGGTATTGACGTATTGTTTTTGTGCCGGTGTGGATGCATTTTGAAATGGATTTTGATTGAAGTTTTTGGGTAGTATCTAACTGTATGATAGGTTGAAATTAGGCTTGTTAGTAGTTACTTATAGGTTGAAATAAATGGCATTTATTTTTATGCAGGACTTTATCAAGAATGCACAACTAAATTTTCTTTGTATGTTGCCTTTTTTTTTTTTTTTCTAATGGCTATAGCCTTCCTTTACAGTTGCCTTGTAGTTCTAATAAAAGTTCTGAAGAAGCATTCTTTTGCTAATTTTTTTAATTGTTTATGTTTGGCATTTTTGCTGAAGAATGCTGTTCAAACAACAACGGATGTTTTTTTTTTTGCAGATTCTGTACTTTGTGTTGGAAGTGAGTGGCATCGTTACCCATCATCATTTTTTGTGCCTGATCATATTGGTGTGGTGAGATGGATTGATGATGGATTCCGAGGTATTCTTCCATTCCCTTTCAAGGATACTCTGGGAGGGACTGCAGCTGCACCACCATACTTCAACAATAAAAACAAAGAATCAGATGAGCAATATGTAATTAACCCTGTCTATGACCTAGTTCATATTAGATCAACTTCAATCTTTATGCTTTACTGTTATAGTTTCAGTTGTATATTGACCCACTGAAAATTGCAGCTCCAAGATGTTCGAGCTTGTACATTCCTAGTTGAGCTGCAGCTGAACCGGCCTTACCCTTATTGTGGAAATGACCCATCAACATGGGAGGTAAAATATCATATTTTATATATTTTTCCCGTTTCTCTAATATATTTTTCTTTTTATATAATTTAATTAAATTGTGCCTGTTTCAGCCTATTGCAGCACTACCATACTTGGACAGGGAGCTCTCACTTGCCAAATATTGGTCATTTTTCATCCCGTACTTGTGGCAGGAGAAGAATGTCTTTGGCATGTACAAACTTCTGCAGAGAGTATCAAAGCTAGAATGATGAATGACATGTTAGTTGTTTCTCCTTATTTCCTCGTCTTTTTTCCTTCAGAAGTATCGTGCCCATTGACTGCCTAGAATGGCATTTTTCCACATTTTTCATGTTATTCCAAGTGGGAAAAATGGAAAAGGAAAATTTATAACACTAACATTCATGGAACCCAGCGATTAGACCATTTTGTAGTTGTATATGATACTGAAGGTTTAGCAGGAACAAGAGAATGAGATTCAATTAATATCACATTATTGTCATTTTACAAAGCTGCATATGTTTCAACAAGGATGGATATCGACAATTGAAACCCATCCTTATGTTCTTGAATCTGGCCTCTTATCATAAAAAAAAGGCTTGAATACCGGTAGAATTTAGGTCTTATAGTCGGCTACCTGATGGTTTTCGAATGAAATGGGTAAATCTGCCTGCAAATCCTTGTAATGACTGCATGATTTGAGAATAAGAAGCTATAATAGAACGGGCAACGGTGTCAATCTTTCGATATCAGCTCCTAGAATTTGAAGCTTGGTATCTATTTTCTCATAGCCTCGCTCAATATGTTCAATTTTAAGGATCACGGTGGTTCCTTTTGCAGCCAATCCCGCTAATATAAGTGAAGCCCCACCTCTCAAGTCCCTTGCAGTAACAGGAGAGCCACACAATGAGCTGCCAAAAGTTATCATCAAATGTTCAATGATTCTGATGAGTTAAACGAACATCCAAATCCTTGTACCAAAAGGAATGCCTTACCTTCCTTCGTCTTTCCCAAAAACTACCGCACTGCTCTTGCTAACCTGAATTCTTGCACTGAGCTTCTGCAGTTCCCTTGCTATCCAAAGGAGAAGAGAAAATTAGACAATGCTTATTACTGATTTCATGGAAGAAGCAATCAAGCATACAATGGCTTGATATGTATCGGAAAATCAACAATGCTTAAGAGAACAATGAGAATCATGCAACATTGTCTCCTTTCTTCATGGATGATAAAATTAAAGTGAAAAATCAATGCTTGATTGGTGTCATATTATGGCTCGGTTCATACATACCATGAGTCATACGGTTGTCAAACACGGACTCCTCCACCAAGCTTGAACCATTGCACGTAGTGAGAAGTGCCATTATTTGAGGTTGCAGATCTGTTGGAAACCCCGGAAATGGACTCGTCTTTATACCAAAACTTTTCAAATCATCACCAACGTATGCAGGAACAGCTGAAACCTGCGCCGATGGTTTTCTAGTCACACATAAAATAAATTAAATTCCCAAAAGAACATGTTACTGTAAGATTTTTCATACCCGCAGTATGTGCTGATCAAGCTGCGAAATTTTGCAGCCAGCTTCTGAGAGTTTGTCGATCAAACATGAAACAGAGGAAGGAATGACAGGAGACATTGAGATGCATGAGCGAGTAATTGCTGCAGCAATCATGAAGGTGCTCGCTTCGATACGATCCGGTCTAATAACACATTCTGAACCATAGAGGCTCTTTCCCCAGATAACTAGAGTGTCAGTCCCTGCGCCTTTGATCAGTGCCCACTGTGGTTCAGAAAATGGGCAAGATCAACCACCTCTGGTTCCTGTGTTCAAAATATTGTGCAGAAAATAAGGAACAACAGAAATTCTTGATTTCTTCCCATATGTTTATACATAATCAGGAACAAAAACATCAGTGGAGATTCCTTCAATCATTACTTTGGCCACATTTAAAAGCACAGTTATCCCATCAGCCATGGATGCTGCCATCATAAGAGTTGCAGTTGCCCCAACACTCGGGTAATCAAGTTGAAATCTCCCCCCAACCAATCCTTTGCCATTTGCAGCATGTGCCCACACTTTCCCATCCCTGCAACATTGCGAAAAGAAGCTCATATTACCCCCAAAACAGTTTGCTATAGCCAATCAACAAAGATCTAGCTAAGAAAGTAGAAGTGAATTTACTGTACTTGTCTCAGTTCAACAACAGAACCAAGAGCTCTTAACCCACGAAGATGGAGGTCCACAGGCCTCTTTCCAATGTCACAACCGCCAGGCAAGGCCACAACAACTTCACCAAACCTGGCCAGCAATGGTCCTATAACGAAAAACCCACCTCTTATCTTCTTCATTTCCTCCGAATCCACCTCCACTTTGCCAACTCCATCACTGTTAATCATCATTTTCCCATCAAAGGACTCAACTTTAGCACCCAAAGAGCTCAGGATGGAAGCCATGGCCTGGATATCGGAGATATTGGGAACGTTGTGCAGAAGTGAACTGCCTGAGCAGCAGAGAGTGGCTGCTAAGAGGGCTAAAGAAGAGTTTTTTGAGCCACTTATGGTAACGTGGCCTGACAGAGTTGCAGGTCCTTTGATTTTGAAAATGGTGTCTTGGTTGGTGTTTTGGGGAGTGTTAGAGAACTGGGTTTTCTGGGAGGAGCAAGAGGGAACGAAGGGTTTTTGGAAAATGGTGAAGTTGCAAAAGAGAGCCATTTTCAGAGTGCTTCTGGGATCCTAGGCCATTCTTTGGTTTTGTTTTATTTGATTTTCCTGTCGGTGTTTTTTGTTGTTTTGTCAGGTTTTTTTTCCATCTCTTTTGCTAGAAAAAGAAAAGGACAAGGTGCCACGGAACACTGGAGACATGATTATATGAATGTCTGAAAAACTGGCTTATAATAAGAAGCTAATAAACTTTTAGATGTTAAACTGTATTCTCTCTCTCCGCTCTTCTTTCCAAGAAAAGTGTGATGAATTTTCTGCCATTGTTTATTCCGATGAGGGTGCTGTCTCCATCGATCATTTATATCTTCATGGGAGGTAGGTCAAGAAGTAACTGAGATAGATGACTGTCAATCTCGAGTTGTCCACAGACGATGAATTCTTGAGAAAATTTTCCCATGTTTCGAAACATGTTTGGTATCATCTTCAAAAGAGTTTTTATCTCCTAAAAGAACACGTCGGATGCCGAAACATGTGATGTGTGTAATGTAATGCAATTTACTAGTGCTGCTATTGCGGTAGGCGGTTAAGACATACACATACGATGGCACTAGATAAAGTTGTCAATCGCCAGATACATCTTCCAACTACCAAATCTGTTCAATTAAAATTCATATTTAAAATGTGTTTCATCTTTCCATGCTCTCAACACGAATTCGGGATGCTGAGTCAAGTCGTGGTCCATCTTTTCTGTAACGACTCCAAACTTTTGCTAACGGTTTACGTTGATGATATTATCATCACAGGAAGTGAAGAGGATGAAGTTGCTGCTGTAGTGCAGCAAATAAATGCTGAATTTTCTTTGAAAGACATGGTTAGGGAATAGGATTACCGGAAGTAATATTACCTAACACATTACTGGGAATGTTACATTACTGTGTTTGGTTTGTTTGACAGTAATGTAAGATTACAATGTTTGGTTGAAACAATAAAAGATTATTGGAATGTATATTTTACCAAATTGACCTTGTTCTATATTTTTGTACAAGTGAAATTCTAATTATTAAATAAAAATTATTTATATACAAATTATTTATATACAAATTCATCTATAATATACTTAAATAAAAATTATTTATATAAAATTCATCGATAATATATTATTTTATTATTTAAATATATCATGTATTATTTTAATTTTAATTAATATTAAATTTTACATAATTTATCTAAAAATATATTAAAATTTTACTTCAACATTTAATTAAATGTTCAATATTAGGGATTTTTAACTTTCACTACTTCAACATTTAATTAGATTTTACATAATTTGTCTAAAAATATAATATTTAAATTTATAAAAAGTAATTAACATATTCGAAAACTAGCACATTACTTGCAAGGCATATACTACATGACAAAAAGAAGTATAACAGTAACCATCAAAAGTTTGTATAATGTTCAAACTTACAAAAGATAATAGACATGACATTCTAAACTTAATCATATATGTTGGCTATATTATTTACACAAAAAATTATCTAAGTCAAAAGATTGACTTAGGGGTTGTTTGTTTGCCTCTTAATGGAACCATTTAGCACTGAATGTTGAACTGTTCAGCATTCAGCGCGTTTGTTTCGCATCTCTGAATGATTCAGTGCTGATTGATTCAACAAAACAGTACTGAATGATTCAACACAGAAGTACATATTGAATGATTCAGAGCCATTATCAAACAACATATCACATTCAGAGCTAATTCATACAAAGCCTCTGAATCATTTAGCATTTGAATCATTCAGCGCTTAATCATTCTGAAGTAAACAAACAACCCATTAGTTTCAAGTTAAAGGATACAAGAAATATATCCTCATGGCTGTAAACAGAAACCTAAAACATCATTTGTTTACTCTTTTTTTATAATAATCATTTGTTTACTCTTAAAACAACTTTATTGGGGGGGATGGCAGCATCATTTGCCATAAAACAGCTTTGCAGCATTAAACTATAGTGACCCTTGGAACCTTTGCCACTACCTTTGATTCTGACATTCAAATATTTTTGTCCAACTGAGCTCGAGAATTTCTCCTAGCACTTTCCAACACGGTTTTATCAACAGTCATGAAGTAAGTTGCAATCGATGTTGTTAACGAACAAAGATAGCCATATTATTACTCGAGGAATGTGGTGTGCCATTTCAATTTCTCTCCTATTTCTATGTCCTTAATGGATATTCAGATCAATATGATGCCATGCAGATATCATGGAATCATCAATTCAAGTTACAAGATCCTTTTTTGCTTTGGTTTGCTTCAAAGGGAAAGCCAATCATAAGTCGTGCATCTTATAACATGCTATGACTAATCTCTTGAACAACTGATACCATAATCGATACAGGGATATTATTTTTTTAAGGAACAATTGGATTAATAAAATATAGCACAATCAGAGATGGAAAGATATGTCTCGGACTAGAGGAAAGTTATGATAACAAACCTGATTAATGTATGGCTCCATTTGATGCAATAATTCATAGCCCTATAAATGACCAAAGTTAGTCGTGAGCAATGCATTCAACAAGTGATTGAAATTTGAAACAATGAGAAAGAAATAGAGAAGTCGTGCCACACGATAACCTGTTTGAAGTATCGAAGATGCGCATCCATAGTCCCACTGACAGCTTCCAGAAACTCAAATCGTTTTTTGGCTTCAACATTTGAAAGAGCAATTAACTATAATTGTAAACCACAGTAGTGTAATTACCATTTGAACCAATTTTGAACTATCAAAGCAACATCAATTTAGAAATCATCTGCTAGCAAGTCACTCACTAGATTAAAACGAGCCTGCTCAAATGTTAACCTTGCATTATAATGTTCCTAGAATAACGCCATCCATGTCAGACTAAAATATCCATCAACATTATATCTACGCAAGTAAGAATGTCACATACATGAGATTATAAACCATTAAAGCAAGTCATTTTGCAAGATACCTCTTCCAAAACATTGGCAATATTACTCTTTGTACTTTTTCTCAGTGAAAGAAACTTTTCACGAGCCTGCAAGATTACACAAAGCAATACAATGAAACAATTAATTCGATTTTAGGCCAACTCCAAGTTATATTATCACATTCAATCAATGAAAATAAAGCAAGCTAACAAATTACACAAGCAAAATAAATTTAAATTCTAAAGCAGCTGGTCGTAAATGAGACTAGCCTTGTCAAAGTGTTTACGTGCTTCTTGCACTCAGATAAAATATTTTAAAACAAAAAGCTTACAAATAAAAAATACATGATCTAGAATAATACACAGATTATAAGAAGTTGGATGAATCTATAGCAAACTGATAAATAAATAACCTATGTTTCTCTTGATAAGACTGTTTTTACATAACAAAAGTTAATAAGGTGGCCCAGCTTTTAGCTAGTTCCAAATCCTCACAACTTTATAGGGTAACTTAAATCTCAATTGAGAGAAATATGATTACCTTGACCTCAAGTAAATCAATATTGACAAACTGCAGTAATTTGTCATTTAGCTCGATTTCAACCTAGAGAGAAAAGAAAGCATTTCACAAATATTATTGTATGTTAATATGATTGGACAACGAACTATATAGTGTCAAAGTTCAATATAGCAGTAAAATTTATATTCTCGCAATTTTGAAAAGAAATGATAGTTTTATAGAACATAGATGGTGTTAAATATCCATGAAGAAAACAACCAACAAAAGGTTAGTTACTACTGACATTTCTAAATGATTATCATTTCCTTTCACCAGGTATTCACAACATCAGTTGGAGAATGCCAAAGAGTGAGTTTATCCAAAACCAGTTATCTTAGGTCCTTACTCCTCAGTAATAAATTTGAATTCAAGTTAAAACGATAGTTAAGAGAATTACCTGGGACCGAAGAACTTCCTTGTATGTCCCAATTTCTCTCAATACTATGGTAAACTTGGTCATAACCGGCCCTAAAGAAGCGAAAAAAGATTCAATTACATATATGATTTCAAACCAAAATATAATCTAAATGTGATGTTAGAACTGAAGAACAGAATGAAAAAGCTTCTGCGGATCGAACAAAAATCAAACCCATTAACAACTGCATTTGACGGAAAAACAAATCCATTTCAAGAAAAAAAAATTCTTATGTGATTGATTCTAGACACCCGAATGAATATCATGTTAAATTCTATTTAGAAAAAAGGAGGAGAAATTTCCTTGCGATTTCTCAGTTGCAAAAAAAAAAAAAAAAAAAGGAAATGAAAGAATAAAAATTCCAACCTTGAGAGGATTGTTGGGCTCTAAGCTTCTTCTCGTCTTCAACAGGGAAGGAATTCTCGTCTTAAGAAGGGCTCCAAGCAAATACCTAATACGCCAGAAGCATAAATCAACGCCAAATTGAAGAAGAAGAAGATTTTATTTCAGCAAAACCAAGCGGGGAGAATGATATTTTAGGAAGCAAGGGACGGGAATAAGCAAATACCTAAGGGAGATGGGGTACTAACATTCTCGGGGAAACAGAAAAAAAACACTGTTGGTATTAATTTTTGACTGATACTTGGGAATGTGGAGAAACCAAAGATGAGTATCTTTAACTCGAAAAAGGAATGAAATATTCCGTGAACCAAACGGGCCTAGAGTGTTTTCTTGGTATGGAAATTCAGCGTTGCTGTGATGGACTCGCTCTTAGTCAAAAAAAATATGTTGCTGAGTGGTTGTTGAAGGCTAACAGCGATTTGAATGCGTCTTATTGATTTCTATATACAAATTCAAAATTGTTGCCTCTACAATGAGAAATGATGGTGAAAAATAATTATTATTAGATTCCCTCAAGTTAAAAGATTTAGATCTAGTCGAGTTTATAAAATTCTAATCTAGTAGAGTTATTCTAATTTATGTTTAAATTTAATTATAAATATTTATGATATTACGATATTAATTGATTCTAATTTAAATTGATTTCTATAACCATATCCAACATATAAATTTATTTAGTTCATATTTTTTCATATGTGACATGCGTATATCACGCAAAGTTGAGGGACTCGACTCGAATTTGAAAATTAATCCACTAATTACTAAAAAATTCGAGTTATTCAAGTCCTATTTTATAACTCAAATTTTATTTGAATTTTTTCCAAATCAATTCGAATTTATGAAATTATAAATCGAGTCAAGTCGAGTGAATTTCACTAAAGTTAGTTCAAGAAATGATTATGATGAACATTGTCATACTTGTGGGGTTAGGTGTCGCAACTCGAAGGACATGCTCAATCGCCAAGAGAAACACAAAAAAGAAATTTCACTAAAGTTCAAATGTAGCCTTTGCGGGCGTGGTTTTCCAACAAAAAAAGAAAGGAATGAGCATCGTAATAAGGGGCACTAATTAAAATGTTTCATTTAAGGTGTTGTTTGATGTTTTTATTTTATCTATTTCATAAGTTTGTATGAGTGTGTTGTTACCTTGATGGTTCTAATTTATTATTGTGTTGCTATTTTATTTTCTTCTTAATCAATGGAATGCGTGTTTGTGTGGAATATGTTTCTTACCTCTAAATATTTGATGAAAGCAATTACCATCTTTCGTATCGATTTTAAAATGAAGCACTACCAGGAATTTGGAGCTCTTGCGTTCTATCTGAGGAGGTATCATAATCCCATTCAAAGGTTCCTGGTAGTGTAAGCACAAATTGAATAAGAAGATTAAGAAGTATTGCTTGAATCCCTATAGTTTAACAGGTTTTTTCAATATTTTTAAATATGACTGGAAGATTAAGAAGAAACAGACCCTGTAAAACTGGGCAAAGATCAGAAGTAGTAACGTACCCATTTGAAAACTGAAATGATACAAATCAATGGACTTTGTTTGTCAGCTACTGTGTAATGGAATCAAAAAAGAGTAGAACAGAATTGAACAGGCTTTATTGTGATTTTACAAGTACATACTAGTTTCATAATATCATGGGGAAGCAACAGAAAAACTCTATATCTCAAAAATGAAGAAGAAGATAGTGCAAGCATCCACTAAGCCTCCCTGTGAACAGAGCAGGAACAACGCAAATCAATGATCACTTTGAACAAAATTTTCTTGATGGATTAGACTCTCTTCCTCTACAGCAAATGTGATGAAGAAACCATTGAACGAACATATCAGCCATAGGAGCTAGTAAAGGGGAAATCACCTTCTGTCTGACACACCATGCTTTGATTTTGTTTAGAGGACCAAACATATTTGGTGCTTACTCTTTTAGTCTTGCATTATATGAGAGACAGGATGATGAGACTCCTAGAATCTTTGCAGAGATTGGTTCGGCTCTTCTGCTTTTGGCTACTTTGATCTGCTCCGCAAGAGAAACTTCTCTTTGCATTTTCTCTTTCTTTATAAGCTCTATATTCAATTTCTCCAGAGCTGGGATATGCGCTCTGTCTCCTTGAATACTGACTTGACTACTTACGGATTTCTTTTTGCGGATCTAAGGATGGATGTTATTATCATAGAGAAAATGAGTTAAGCAGCCATGGAAATAAGTGATTTATTACAGACAAACTACTAGGATAACAACCATAAGAACATGGCACATATTCAGGCAATTTTATCCATTTTGTGGGAAACTATAGAATTACATGTTACTTTCTGAAACAGCCTTGTTATTTATGACTGACCAAAAAAATTAGAGTTATGAACTTATCCACAAAGAACATTAAGTTCCAAGCAATGACATCTATGAACAAGCAATAATTGCTGCAGGTTGGAGGGTTCAAATCTAAGTCTGTCTGGAGTTTCTTACCATTTGTAATCTCTGCTTAAGTTTCCTCCCTTCAGGGTCTGTCACCTTCTCATCTTTATTTGATTTTTCTTGTTTCTTTCTCTTAAATTCTATTGATATCTCTTTCTCCTCCTGCTTTTTTCTTTTTTCAGCAATCCTTGCCATCCTTTCTGCTCTTGCCTTTTCCGCTCTAACCTTTGCTATCTCCTTTCCCTTGGCCTTCTCTGTAGCCCACTGAAGCTGTTCAAGAGCTATTTCTTGTTTTATCTTGTCATAACTATCCCATTCTAGCTCCGCCTGATCAATCCCTCCTTTTCTAGCAGCTTCAGCTATACTTTTCATCCATGATAGAAAGAATCTCTCCCCTAACCATTTCCGTTTCAAACGCTTGCCCCAAGCACGCCTCACTGAGGACCCAATTCTTGCCTTGCTTTCCTCACTGCAGCAATTATAATATCCTCTATTTCATGATCTTTAAAAGTAAGGTTTATTGTAAACTTCAGCACTGTTTCAATGGCATAAAAATTCATGCTAAAAGATTGAAAAGCTCATTCCAAGATGCTTATGAAGAGAAAATGACTAAGAAAGTTGATATAAACTGAAGAAAGGATGCATTTTCAGCCAAGGGTAATTAAGATCACTGACACAGTGATCAAAGCTCATATCCTAGCAACATTGTTATATTACAAGATAATATTAACAAATATAAGGCTTAGTGCTGGTCCAATTTAATTTTAATACATCATCTAGAAGGCATGTGTGCGGTGAAAGTTATAGCAAAATTAACATCAGGCTTTAGCTTTTAGGTCTAAGGATTTTGAATACACCACTTAAAAGTGTGAAACCAATTCCATGTCCAATGCTTAATGAAATATCAATAGCAAATACTTCTGTTAAGTTATTTAAATGCAAAATTACCTATGAGTACGGGGATGTTCAGACATCTTCTTCCTAACCTGGAAAGCAAGGGATGGGCAAATTTTCAATGAAATAATAATAATAATAATAATAAAGATGATGATGTCACCTTTTAACTGACTATAGAAAAACTAGCCTCTATTAAAAATGATTACTGCTAGAACTCTTCTAAAATTGATGCCTATCAATAGCAACTGATAATGCTGATTTATTGAGAACAACTCTTATTTGTTTGTCAACATACCATGGTTGCTTACCCCTATTTCAAGAGTACCCATGTGAAAAATAAAAACATCCCAAAACTGCTTCAGTCTTATATGACATCACCTTGGGATCAGTCAAAGCTTCTATCGTTCTTTGCTTGATTCGTAAACGTGTCTCTGCAAGATACAACATTTAAACAAGGAATTCACTAACCGCATAAAGATTGAAACCAAAGTGATTAACTTATATTTTAGAGCATTGTTACCAGCACTATGTTTCCGGCCTTTGTTCCATGGCACCCTCCCTTTATTTGCCAGTCCTATCTTCCTCCTCCTTTGCTCTTCCTTGACCTCTTCATCATTGGAGTATTCCTGAGAGCTACAACAACCACATACCTGAGCCTCCTCACCCGAGAGTCGAATCTGTTTCGACTTTATACTATCTTTTGACCAACAGCTGTTGCAAAACATGAATCTTTCCCCTGGACCCATGGAAGTTTGCAACGCTCTAACCGGTTGAAAGCTCAAGGAACATTTACAGGAATCTGAGGGAAATACTTTTTTCACAACAAATTGATGGTAGTTTGACAGCATTGTGTTTGGTTGGCACATATAATCCACCACAGAGGGAAGAGGCCACGAAAGTGTATCTGGAACATGCAATCTCCTGACAACTCAAATGAAACAAGGTACCGATAAGCCGAGCAAATTTTGATACTGTAACTTAAAAAAAAGGGAAAACTCTCTATAGCATTTGAAACCCAAATTCAAAATTAACCCAGAATTGCAAAGAGCAACCTTTTTCAAATGGTAAATTGAGACTTAAACAACAGGAAATGCAATATAATTTCATCCGCATCTACAGAGAAAGGAACTTACAAGTGAAAAATTGACATCTGAGATGATCAATGTGTAAGAATCGAGAAGATAGAGCACTGTTATCGGAGTTTGTGAAATGGATTTTGGCTTTTAATGAAGAAATGAGCTTCAGAGTAGAGTTTTCGGAGGCACAGAAACATAATTGTACAACGACCAGACGTTGAGGATTGCTTTCTTCCACATTTTACCTATGCCTTCCGCCCTAAAAAATACTATATTTTTTTTTAATATCCTCCTATAGCATTTGCCCCCTATTTCCTCCGGGTTTTATAGAGTAAAATACATCCTGGGTTATTTTATTATTAATTTAATTATAAATAAAATATTTTATAAATTATTATTTAATTAATATATCGTTAAAATTTAAAGAAACGCCTAATATAATATTATTTTTTGTCGAGAAAATAATAAAGCTTTCATAATTTTAATCATTGAATTCCACTTTCTGTTACTTTTTTAATAGAATTTTACTTTCTTAAATAGCCAAATTAACAAAATAATTCCTTTATTCTCTTCAAAAATGACATGCCAAGTAATTGCAAAAATTTTTAGAGTATCTCGAGGTTAATGTGTAAAAATTTTGAGTCTCCAATTTACAGACCATCGGAAATGTTAAAAATTGTACCCCAAACAATAATCTATCGTAAAAACCAAAAAATTAAGTAACATTTCCATAGCATTTTAAAAATATATGCATAGATACTTTAATTATAATATAAAATATAAATAAAGTCAAATTTATAAATTGAAATATTCCTATTTATTGTAGTATCCATTATTAATTATTATATATGAACAATGCAAAGAGTTGCCCATATGTAAATTATTATACATGAGCAGTGATCTTTAGAATGTCTACAATTTTTTTATTAATCGTTGCCACCAAATCTTATAGTCTAACATGTCGAATTCTTTATCATATATTTTTTTATATGAGGTAAGACTTACGTATACAATGTATACGTGTTATCAATGATTAATTTTTTTTAAATAAATACTATCATTATAATCATTCCTATTAGAAAAAGTTTTAATTACGATCTACTGCTAATTATGGCAGAGAATTTTTTTTAAAATGTTTTTTGCAAACTTAAAAACCATTATTATTACATATAGCTCAGGTTCAACTAGCAAATACTAAACATAAAATACAAGTAATCCATTCAACTGAGGTACAAAACGTATTCTTGATCCCTTAACCTAAAAACTCATACTTTTTAAGTTAGGATTCAAAAATAGGTTTTACTTTGGTTCCATTTGAGAGTTTTGTTCGAGGCATCCAAACCTAACCAAATTAAGAATGTCGTTTTATGACTAATCTAGTCATATAACGACATTTTCAATACGACGAGATGCCTCGAATCAGACTCCCAAATGACAGCCTTAACCTCTTACATGAATACTCATATACGTTAACCACACAAATCACTAAAAAAATGTTCAAAGAAGTTACCGACCCAAAACACCTAAAATAGCTAGAAATGCAGCATGCTGTTGCCATGGGGAGTACTGAAAGATCAGTCAGGGGAATAAACCAGTGCTCACAGGTTGGCCATGGAAGTCCATTACATTAGTCAAACAGTCCTCAAAACCCTTGAATGCCTCGGCACGTTCCTTATGCAAGGCATCCAGTTTGTCGTCGATGGTCTGCAACACTTGCGCTCCGATGCCACCAAAGTAAGCTCGAGCGATTTTCTTCAAGTGGGACATTGCAAACTCGACCTTGAAATTGATTCGAAGAGCATCCTTAATGGCATCTCTCCATGTCAGCATCTTTTTCTCAGTGACTTCATGGAGCTTTAGATCTTCCATCTCTCTGATTGTGGCACAGAAAAACAAAAAGATTTTCCCCGTAATATTCGAGTTCTTCACCGAACTCGAAGCTGAAACATCACCATGAACTTTGATGATTCTTTCCACGGTAGGGACCAAAGACAACGGAAAACTGTATGCTCCAATTGTCTTTTGCTCCCCATTGAAGCAAATCATGAAGTCCGGGAAATCGACATTGCTTGCAACATCTTCTTCAATTTTCATCAGAAATTTAGCCATGGTGTTTAAGTTTTGATGTACATTCAGAGAATTCTTTGGAATTGTCACTTCATTTGGCAGCAGATCATCCAGTAAGTCATCCAGTCCCAAACCATCCAGCTGAAAAAATAAGTTGGGATATATTTATCTCAAGATTCTTAAAGCCGTTTGTGAAAGTAAAAAATCTATTATCAATGTATCAAATATGAACTCGAAGATTATTAGAGTAAAACTTATAGATGCTTTCAAAAGGAATGCTAATTTTCCAGATTTTTCAAAGCATAGAAGCAATAACCTCTTCATCATCTCCTTCCAAACCAGAGTCCATTCCCAGTTCGTCCTGCAAAATATAAGGCGACTTTTTTCAGTGTCAATTGTGTACATGAAACTTTCATTTTAGACATGTACTAGTACTCGAGCATTTGCGTCCGTAGGATGTGTGCGTTTATTATCAATTGACTAAGAAAATAATGAACATATACCACCTTATAATCCCCTCATATTAATAAAAAAAATGTACTGGTATTCGAATCCGGTGAAAACAAACCACAACAAAATCTGGAACTTAAGGTAAGATCAATTACCTTGATATCAAAGTCTGAATGAATAACTTGACTATTCTCAGCAATCAAATCCTCAAATTCCTTCTGCAAAACATTTGTTCATTACTATTATTTTGCACAACAAGAAGGAAGAAGCTAAAAAGAAAAACTAAAGCAGATTAGAGAAACTTTATGATCAAAACAGATTCCTTTACCTGCTGATTTCTTGCTCCATTCTTCGGCTTGCATATTGTCCTTTCAATTTGCCTTAATTTCGCTTTACAATCTCTTGTTTTTTGTTTGTTTGAAGCCTCATGAGTTGCAATTTGATAATGCATCACGGAGCCAATTGATCACCTCGCCTGAAAATCCCAATTCTTTTGCATATCAAAATACTGAAAACCCAGATTTAGATTTTTCTTAACAAATTTACAAAACTAAGATCAAAACAAATAAAGAACTGGGAATTCAGTCAACCTTAAGTCTAAATTCTAGAATAAAAGCTTGGAATGCAGGAAATAAGATGAATAAACAGAAAACAAACCCAGAAAATCTTTAGAGAGAATAAAGAAAATGAGAAGAACCTGATTAAAGGAAAATTGAATACTTGCCTGATTTACAATCCCGAAGCCAAGCTTCATGGGAGCTTCCTCTATACTCTACTCTACTCTACTCTTTTTCCACAACAACTTGCGTACAGAGTCATCCAAAGGAATCAAAAGTACTGTCAACAACAAAATAGTCCAAATTTGGATAATGCAAACTTTTTATGTTTAACTTGAACCTTTCGATTTGATCCCAAGAAGAATATTGAAACCGTTGGATTCATAGATAATGAGAAAAAAAAAGTAAAAAAAAAAAACAAAACAAAGAAAAGGTGCATGCCTTTTGTTTTAAGTTTGGTTCAGTGTCCTTGACTGTGTATTTCTAACGAGCGATTAGCCTCGTGTGATCGAACGTTTTTGACCCACTTTCGTGTTGCTCAGTGCGTAGCTCGGTCCTCGTAGTGTCCGAAGTGGAAAGTCGTTCTTCCCTCAATCTCCATTAAAACCCAGGAATGATTGGTTTTCAAAGGCTTCTTTTTGGAGTGTTATTTTTGCTGTTAACACTATGATTTGTTGGAGATTGAGAACTAAATTAATCTTGGAACTTATTTTTGGCTGCGTTTAAAGAACATGCATCAATACGATAAGCATATAATATAAACGTTCTACTACCTATTACCTAAGTTTATTTGATTCAATATAAATGTCATCTTTACTACGGTGAATTCAATCGAAAGGCCCAAAAAGCCTGGTTCTGGTTAAAACAGCCTCCTAAACCCGAATCAAAAAGCCTGCCCACATTTCCCTCTTTCTCGTTCAACTTGTCCATGGATATTTGTTCCTAATTCAATATGTTTTAATTCCATTTAATTTTATAGAGTTAATTACATCATATGTCCCCAAACTATAACCCTCATTTCAAATTCATCTTTAAACTTTTTAATATTCCAATTTCATACTCAAACTATGAATCTCAACTAAATTAGTCCCCGAACTTTTAAAGAGTCTAATTTCATCCCTAAACTATGACCTTGATTCTAAATTGGTCCCAAACTTTTGAATATTCCAATTTCTTCCATAAATTCATCCAAATATGTAATCGATTTCAACTATAGTTTAGCCTTTTTTTCAAACATATAGCGATATAACTTAGCCTAATGAGTTTATTAACAAGGGACGTGATCAGTATATGTGTATAATTTGGGATGAAATTGGAATGTTTAAAAAGTTTGGGGATCAATTTAGAACTAAGGTCATAGTTTAGGGATGAAATTTAAATGTTCACAAGTTTGAGGACTAATTTAGAATGATAGTAATAGTTTATGGATGAAATTAAAATAATTAAAAGTTTAGGCGCTAATTTAAAATGAGAGTCATACCTTGTGGACATTTGGTGCAATTAACTCAATTTTATAATATCAAATTCTTTTAAAATTCAGATTTAAATCAAATTGGATCAAGTTTTCTTAAGGATAAATCAGATAAAAATACTCAATTTTACATGATTTGAAATAAAAATATAATTTACATTTATATATTTATGACTAGTTTTTATAATATCACACTATTTATATTTTTAACTAAATCTTTATTTTACTTAATAAAGAAGAAAATTATATATATGTGTGTATCGAGTTGAATGGATATAAAATTTTATCGGATGAAATTTCTCCAATCCCAAATCAAATCTAATCGAATAATAAATAAATAAATGTTAAATTTAAATCAAATTTAAAAAAAATTAAAATCGATCTGGTCCATCTCATGATTATATCTGAACTTGTCATATGAAAACATGACATATTTCCATTGATAAGCAAGACGACAGAGTATCTTAGAAATTTCATACAATCGAAATCCAATGTATAGTTTAAGAAAAAGTTGATATTTTTTAGTTTTTTTTATAGTGTTTATGTTCTAGATTGTAATGGTTTCTCTCAATAATGTTAATGAATATTTATTTTCTACAAGTACAATATATTTTACTATTATATCTAATATTTTATTAAAAATATCATATTATATATACACACACTTACATAGTTACATTTGACACTAGATAACATATAATTTACTTATGTTGTTTTTATCCGATTCTCTTTGATTTTATTCTATCCAAAGATTTTTTTTATCTTATGATTTTATATATATATATAAAATATCTGCATGGTCGCTGATATGGACATGCACTGATTAGAGAGAGAAAACATCGCTTGATAATTTACAATTTTGTTTTATGATTTTTCTGTATGGAAGTATAAAGGATTGAAAGCAATTGGGAGAGTTTTGCTAAGCCATGACAACAGATCCACGTGTTATTTTTTTTACTATTTCTACCCACTTTCACTTATAAAATATATATATAAATCATTCTCATGGTTAAAATTATATTTTAACGTATTCGAAAATAAAATTAGAAAAACTTTTTTCAATTAATTTTTCGTACAATTTCTTCAATAATCGTATGGTCCACTCAATAATGTTTTTTTTTTACATTTTCACTGACATAATGAATGTATTATAATGTAGTACTTTACAGAAAGGACTTATAATAACCCACACCTCAATTTCTTTATATTCTTTAATTTTCAAAAGAAAAATAAAGATTTTCTGTCAATTTATGGGACCTAAATACTTAATTTGCTTGTTAAAAAAGCTCCCTGCATAAAGTCAGTCAATGGTTTACAAGTTGCCATGATTTGCAATTACGTAATTTGGATTTAAGCAATTCAACCATTCAAGAGTTTCTCTTTGATTTCCCTTTTCCTTAAAACACAATTATAAGATTGCAGTTCAAATTTATAGAAATAAAAATAAATGTAAACATTATTTTTAATATAAGATAATATTTGTACAATTTTCTCTTCATTTATTAATAATGTACGCACTCTGCTCGAATTAAATCCTTAAAGAAAATAATATCTTTAATTACTAAAACTATTTAATAAATATCACATTTAAGATTATAAAATAAAACTATGTCGGAAATCAATGAAATAGGAGCTTGAAGAAGCAAACAAGGAGATAAAGTTTTTCAAACAGGCATGCGATGAGAAATGATGCAATATTTATAATGAAGAAGACCTGCACTGATTGCAACATCCATCGAGACCTCATCTACAAGTGTTGATGTGTGTATCTGGTTACGGTTCCTCCCTCAACTTAAAATTATAAAGAGTTCTAAAAATTGTCTTCAATTTTGATGGAAATCCTTTTAACGTTGGATCATCTTTTCTCGAATCTCAATTAGAGCGTATTTTCTCAAATCTCAATGATGATGAGATAATGGAAAAGGAGAAGACAAGTTATATACTATAATTTCATGTTGATTGAACGATATAAATTACATATCATAGTTATTTTTCTCTAAATTTAGGTTGAGTTTCTTGAGTTTAATTTTTTTTGCGAAAATCTAAACTAATAAAATGATTATAGATGATGAAACGAATTTGTCAGTATCTTTAATGGTTGAAGTAGACGTAAAAAATTAGTATGATATCAACGCTACATAGAGAAGAAATTCTTAAAGTTCTATCTTGTGTAAAAGAAGAATATGGAATAAAAAAAGAAAAATGAGACGGACAACATGTGGCTTATATGTCAACATAAAACCGTCCATGCCACCCTGTTATTTTTATCTAATGTTTGAATAACCAAAACATGAAGAATTCAAAAAATAAATAATTAAATTAAAAAATTGAGTAATCAAAACAAAAATACATACAAAGTTAAATGATGGAAATCATAATTTACCCTTAATATAATCTATAGCTCTAATCCCCAAAACCCCAACATAATCCATAGTTGAAGCAGATAATTGTCGGTAAATTAAGTATCAAGATTGGTCAATGTAATCATTGTCAAGATTTTATCATCGGTCAATGTAAATAAATTACACAATTATTAAAAAAAAATGAAAATGCGACACATTTATTTGATCTAACTCATGAAAATGTAAAAAGAAAGGGCAGACTCCCTTGAGATGCTTGCCATGTTGAGTAGTAATCCAACAATCCCCCCCGAAAAGGAGGTGTTTGGGAGCTGGGAAATTCGTGGGAAAAAGATGATGAAGTTTCTTAAATGAAGCGATAAAGAGAAAAAGAAAAAGCTGTAAAAGGATCGATGTCAGAAAGTTGTTCGATGCTGGCAAATAAAGGATCTATCTTTCATCGATCCATTCATTCATCTGAAATATCAAAAACAAAGCTCACATAAAATTTTATTGAAATAATTAAATTCGATTACCATATAATTGGAGTAGATGCAGTGATGAGATCAGAGGGATATTTAATTTCATTTCTGAACAAACACTGCCATGAAAGTCTTCCGCTTTCCTACTGCTGATAAAAAACATTCAAGTTTTCTTGGGCAACAAAATTCTTATTTGAAAAACCCAGTTCAATAGTACACAGAGAGGCCCAATTGCCAAAAGTTTTTAGATATTGAGAAAGGAATTGAAGGTGGTTTTTAGCTTTGTGGAGGGGTCCTTTTGTGATGACGGAATTAGAAACATTTAATGGCAGAGACAAACGGCTTCAGGTTTCTAGGAAATTAGGAAGTTTACGGAGGCTAAAGAAGCAATAACTAGTGTCCGCCATTAAAGCCGACTCTGGATCCTCAAAGCGATCAGCTTCAGCTTCAAAACCTGATTTCAAAACCGACCCAACATGCAGGAGGGATGGGACATAGCAATTACCAAGCTGCAACGTCGTCGAGATTGGGTTTGAAGCACGGCGGGGGCGAGATCTTTGAGGTTGAAGGAGGTCGCATTGTTCGGTCAACTGGAAGGAAAGACCGTCACAGCAAAGTTTGCACCGCTAAAGGTCCTCGAGACCGTCGTGTTCGTCTCTCGGCGCACACCGCCATCCAGTTCTACGATGTCCAGGACCGACTTGGCTACGACCGCCCTAGCAAAGCTGTGGATTGGCTTATCAAAAAAGCCAAATCCGCCATTGACGAGCTCGCTGAACTACCTCCTTGGAACCCAGAAACTTTGAAAACAGTTACTTCAACCACAAAATTACCAAATAACCAAGAAGATCAAAATACAATAACAGCAACAGATCATGAAAAACCCTGTCAGTTTCACAACCTTGCTGCTGGGTCAGGTACTCGAAGAAGAACGGCTACAATAATGGGAAACGAAGTCCAAATTCTTCAAGAAATTGGAGATAACCCGAATCGTAATTCGAGTTTTCTTCCACATTTTTTAGTTTCTGATGATATCGAAGATACTTTGAAGTCTTTTATTCCATCGGGAGCTTCCAGTGAGACGCCAACTTCTTCATTACAGTTTCAGAATTATCTACCGGATTTTTCGACCCGAACCGGCAGCCACAGTCAAGATCTGCGGCTTTCGCTTCAGTCATTTCCGAAGCCAATGGTTCTGCTCCACCATCACCAAGCTGCTGCTGCTGCAGTGCAGGCACATCAAAGTGAACCAGGCTTATTCTCTGGTCTTGATGGTTCTTCAGCTGGATGGGAACACCACAACCAACATCCAGCGGAGATAGGAAAGTCTCAAAGATTGGTTGCCTGGAATAATGGTGGTGCTGGTAGTGGCACTGGCGGTGGTTCTAGTGGCGGGAGTGGAGGATTTCTCTTTGGCAATCCATCAGCACCGCCACTGCCACCTGCTTTTGGCCAAAACAGCCAGTTTATTTCTCAGAGGGGACCCCTTCAGTCCAGTAACACACCCTTGGTTCGTGCTTGGATAGACCAGCCAATTCCCACAAACAACCAACACCATCAAATCCCACAAAACATCCATCATCAAACTGCTTTATCCGGCATTGGATTCACCGCATCAGGTGTATTCTCTGGCTTCCGCGTACCAGCACGATTTCAGGGCGAAGAAGAGGAGCACGACAGTATTCCCAATAAGCTGTTCTCTGCTTCCTCTGATCATCACCATTGATCCAATAAAATGAAGAAAACCCAAAGTCTCTCCCCTCTAACAAGTCAAAATTTTACTACCACTCTCTTATATGAACACTACATTATGTTTCACTTACAAGCTCTGTTACTTATCTAAATAAGTGTTGTTTCAGAAACATTTTGATTGTTGACAGTGAAGTTAATGGAGGAGATGCTTCTAATGATTCAACACTGGCTTAAGGGAGGATTTTGGTCACTTCAAATCAATGGTCTATGCCGTGGGAAGAAGAAATCTGGGTTGGTTTCAGGTTCATTCAATCCCGGTTTCCTTAGTTTCTATCAGTTGAGTGTGTTGTACCTTCAATATATGTTTGATTTCACTTCTTGTGCCTCTTGTCATTTGTTTGCAATGTTCATGTTGATTGCTACTGTTTCCCGGAGTTACTTTCAAGATTCAAACATATAATTTTGGGAGCTCTAAAAGAGAAGTCATTGTCTTATAATCACTGTGTATTTCTGTAACATGATCCCATATGAGAGATAGGGTTGATCTAAATCATGTCACAAATAAGTTATAGTGGTTAACAATGAGCATGCTAGATAAATTTAGCCATAAGACCAAATAAGGCTAGGTGAAATGCAGTTACATTAAGATTTAAACAAAGTTAAGAGTTCAAATTTTTATGTTGTAAATAAAACAAATTAAACTAAAAGGATAGTCATATATATTATGAATACGTATGGTACCGTTAAAATTTGAGTAATTGCCTATCTATAAACGGTCCCCATCATAATTATACATATATGAGTGCATATATCTTCAGCCTAGCTGGAATTCATATTTGCTATGTGAACATAAAGATAGACTGGTTTTTGGCTTCTATTGACATCTCTACATATAGTACTACTTCATAGGTCATATAAAGCATCAGACACTAAAAGAGAATTATAAGTAGTTTGCCCTTTCTGGTGTGATGTGATTTTTGTGATATGATATAGAAATTGTAAAGTAGATGGTTAAAGTTTTGGATACTTATAAATTTTGAGGTGGAGAGGTGGTTGGATGGCATGTAGTTGAGGCTTTACCTATGAATGCATAATTCAGTGAATCAATGGATAATTAAATGTTTAATGGGAAATGAGTTGGAGCATTATTTACTATTGATAATAATATATTAATGTGGGTTTTGTCAATATATGCACGTGAAAGTGATGAAAATATGTTTCATAAGTTTTAAGTGATGAAAATATGTATTATAAATTTACTTGAAAATGTTTGGAGCATGTGTCGTTTCATTAGGATTAATGTTAGTCCGAGCTGATTGGCGAGAACATGTGTTGTGCATGCAATGAAAGACCTTGTTATTCCAAGGGAATTAATCTTTCATCATCTTATAATTGTAACTTTATTTTAATGTTTAGTTTTGTTGTGCGACAGTTTTATTTAAGGTTAATTTAGGATGGTTTTAATTTATAATATTATTTTGTTTAATTTAAAAAATTATATCATTAACAATAATTTTGGTTACAACCGATAATATTATATTATATTAGATTTAACCTAAAATGCTATATGTCTACTCAAAAGGGTTACATAATTAATAATAATTTTGATTACAAGTGAGAAAGTCTTGAAGACAATTTTTTAGGTTACAATCGGAATAATTATGTAATTTATAAGATTTGTTAGGGAGAATATAATATTTTTTGTTTTGACTTAAAATGTTATCCTAATTACTCTAAAGAATTAATCTATTGATATATTTTTCAAATACAATGTAATTCTATCTTTTTTTAATCTTATATTAATCGGTTGTAATTTAAACTCATCTTCTTTAAATAGGTTTCTTCATTAGTCATTGGGATTGTCCTTCGGCCATAGTAATTAGGAATATGCATTTATTCCTTTTGGTTTTTATATATACAAATAAAATAAATTGATTAAAATATCAAAAATAAATAAATTTAATTGATTTAATTATCAAAGTCAAATTAATTGAATCAAATAAACTAAACTGACTTTATTTTATTTTTAAGATTTATTTATAATATTAAACAGTATATGCTATTAAAAAAATAATTAGATTTAGCTTTTTTATATTTGAATATTTAAATTCATATTTGGATTAATTTAAATAAAATATACATACAATTTATAATTTAAATTAAATTTTAAAAATTAAAAATTAAATTGAAATTACAATAAAAATGAAATAAATTAAAATATTAATTAAATTAATTTAATTAATTCGATTTATTTGACTATTTACTCACCCTTAATAGCAATCGGATATAATGTGTTGGAATTATTTTTTTGGTGAGCTAGTTTATTGGAGAGATGGTTTTGAATAGGTTATTATAAGGTAATATATGATTAGATGATCATCCAGCTCAGTTGGTAGAGCACAAGGTTTCTAATATTGAGGTCGTGGGATCGAGTCTCACGGAGGGCATTTCATAATTCGGAGGTCTCCTACGGAAGCTGTTTTCAACCTGGTGTTGGGGGCAGCCTACTATCTTACCTCCCCCATACCCCATTACATATGGGAACAATGGTCAACCAACCATTCAATAATATGTGTACACACTTTATATACGTAACTACTGAAGTTAACATTTTTTTAAAAGAATTACACTTCTTTTTATCATTAAGGCGATTCAATTTCAATGACTTATATTTATTTACCCTTTTGAGTTTACTAAAACGTGAGGATTAGTTATTGAGTAGAAAATGCATGTGTTAAGATCAAAGTGAGGCCCACGATTAGGCCCATTAATCAAATCAAAACAAAGTTAAGGTGACGCAGGAACTCGTACTCTTTTGCAATTTTGAAAAAATAATTTTAAAAATATTAAATTTTTTTAACTTAATTCAATTATTAACTTTTTGTTGTAAATTTAGACATCTGTCAATGAATTTAAATATATAATTGTGATTTATGATAGATATGCATTTTGAATATTCATGATTTGAATTTAATATATATTTTTGTAAATATAAATAAATTTATTTAAACTAAATATTTAAATTAAATTATGTGATAAACATATTTTAATTCGATTTTATTCAATGTTCGACTTTTTTTATTACTACAAAATATCAATCTTTAGATATAATCTACAACCTCCTTACGTACAATGATCTTTCTCTTTCCATTCTCTTTTTCAATATTTTAGCTGAAAATTTAGCTACCCTCTTGCCTCTGTTCTCTACACTTGCAATATCCCAGAAAGATTCTGGGTATCCTTTCTAACATTTTGTTGCTTCTTCCTGCATATATTTTTCTCTACCCTTCCTCCTTTTCATCCTTGATAGTATTTTGATCCCAAAGACTGTTCGTATCTCTCATGAGTTTCAAAAAGCTTAGTTTCTGTGTTTATATGAAGAGTAACATGAATGAAACTATACTAACCATGGTATCTGCCCAGGACATGTTAACACCTTCTTCCTAACAAGTTGTTAAGATATGGGTGTTCCTCAAAAGCTTTAAATTCTTGGGGTTTTCTTCATTTTGAAAAATTTGTGCTTTATATGGAAATTGGTACAAACAATGGCTCAAGAAGATGAAAATCAAACCCAAAGATGTAGTAATAATATTGGTAGATCTTTTAAAAAGCAAAGGCCTAGAAGAGTACCCCAAAGAGGGCTCGGTGTTGCACAGCTTGAAAAGATAAGAATCGAAGAAGAAGAACAAAAGAAAGATGCTGCTACTTCATCATCATCACCAACTGTTTGTCATAAATCACCACATCTTTCTTTGCCAGCTCCAAGTTTCCATCTTTCAAGTCAGTCTTCTTCTTTATGTGTTCAAGGCATTGGTACTGTGAGTACTGGAAACATTGTTACATTCACCAGTGGAGGAGCAGTGTTTTCAGGGAATGTCAGTTTTAGCAATGGTTACAATTTGAGTAATTTGCCTTATGAATCTCAACCCATTTGGCCTTTGCCTAGTCTGATGCAGAGGGTACAAGCTTTTCAGCAAGCTTCTTCTTCAACGGTAAAAAAATTGGTTTCTTGTTATTTTTTTAAAACATTTCTGTCATTTAATTAATGGAACTTTAGCTTGTTATGCAGGTGAATAATTTGACATCAAGAACTGCATCAACATCTATACTGAATTTTCAGATGGAGCCCCCTTCAAACCAAAGCTATTATGGAAACTGTACATGCTTATTGCCTGAAGAATACAAGGTAAATTAGCTTAAATAATCTTGGTTTTAAATTCCTCATTTTATCATATATTCCTCTAAACATCAATTTTCATTAAAATTTGAATCTTGTAACAGTAACACTGCGGGCTGCTATGTGTGATTTTTGTTTCAAAAAACTGTGTAGGTGATTGGCATGAAGAGATCATATCCTTTGCCTCTAGACAATGCTCCAAGCACCCCTATTCACAGCAAATATCCATCCATTGTTCAATCCATCAATGGACAAATTGAAGCTGCTTCAAGTAGCAATGGCAGCACATTTGATTTCGAACCCGGAACCCTAAATTTCAGGTTCGATTATAATTTTCATCTCACATACGGAATAAACATTAAGGTTTAAGATTCAAATTCCGTCTCCTAGTACCTAAAAAAAGCTTCTTTTTTGCTTTATTTTCAGGAAAGGGTATTATTGTTCAACCTTAAATGGGGTCATTGATGGAGATTTCCTCACATTAGCCCCTCCCACGACAACTTCCATGAGTACAAGTTCAAAATTCAAGCACCCTCAGTCCAATTTAATCAATTGTGAACTAGCTTATCAAGTGAGCTTAAACAGTAAATTCTTGTTTGATTCCCTTTACTTTTCCTCAAAATAATGCTCATATAGTTTTGTAAATCTGTTAAAGGCAAGCTTTGAAGATTCAATTCTCCGGCAAGGTGTTACCGGAACTGAATCCGGATCGAACGAGTATCGGCCTTATCATAGCTTCTTTCCACCAGCAATGGTGCAAATTGAACAAGCAACTACTCTAAGCTTGGCCGATTGTAATGGTGAAGTAGGGCATGTTGATCTCAATTTAAAGCTGTAATCTTTTTCGTCTGCAGTATCGGACCACATCTGCAGGCATCTGCAGCAGAAGAGGTGGATTAAAAGTCTGCAGTCTGCAAGAAGAAGACTGTTTGTTTTTTAACGTCTGCAGACTGCTAAAGTAAACTGAAATATAAATAAACTGATTTTTTAAACTTAAAAGAGTTTTGCAATATTGAGATTTAAATAATTTTAGTTTTACAATATTGAAATTTAAATAATTCATACAACTACAATAATAATTTTTTTTAGAAAAACAAACACCACCTTATTAATTCTATTATAAGTCTCACATAATCACATGTATTATTAGTTTTATAAGTTTTATAGAATAAAATTTATAAATAATCATTAAATTATATGATTTTTTAAATATGCAATTATTTAATACTTTTAATTTTTTTTAAATATATATTCATAATTTTTTTTATAATTATATGATATTTTTAGAAAATATTTTTTAATTTATCAAATTATTTTATGATTATTTTTTATTTAATTGTGATTATATTTTAAAATTTTAAAAACATAATTTATAATTTTTTATATTTTAAAATCTTAATTATCAAACAATTAAATCATTTTTTATTAAGCAATGTGGGTTAAATACTTATATTTTGTATAAAAAGTTTAAATATAATTTAAAAATAATAATTCCAAAAAAATATTATATTTAAACTTAAATCAAAATAATAAAATAAATATAAAATTTTAATAATATATAAAATAATTTATATGATATAAAATTAAATATCTATAATATAATATTAAAAAATTAATATTTAATTTATTTTAAAAATTAATATTTAATTTATTTTAAAAATTAATATTAAAATTAAAATCAAATATAATATAAAATTAAATATAAAACCTCTTTGAAGAGGTTAGAAGACGTCTGCAGCAGACATAAGACAACGTCTGCGCCGCGCAGACCACGCGCAGACATTAGAATAGCTTTTGTCTTCTAAAAAACAAACGGTCTGCGAAACACAATGTTTGTGCGTGGTCTGCGCGACACAGACATAAGAACTTTACAGACCTTACACAGTAAAAATAAACACCACCTTAGCATCAAATCTCTTCTGCCACACTTCTTTGTATCTTTATAGGCATTTTTTTTAATGAAGAACACATCAAGAATCTTTTTTGGTGAGTCAAATTCTTGTTGAAATTTAGTCTCGAGTTAAAACCTGAACCGTTTTTTTCAGTTCCGATAAAAAAGACATTTTAATAATAGTATTTATAAAATTTTATGTTTTTTTTATAAAAAAGTTATCATTTTGTTATGTTTGTTGGTTTGGTTGGTGAATGGGCCAGGAACTTTGATTGGTAACAAACTTTTGCATGTGGATCTGATTTAAGATTTGTCTTGTATGAGTAAGATGGGTCCCCTAAATCTGACCCTTCATTTATAAGTTGCACATCAGTGACGTCTAGGAGGGTCCACACTGGATTAGCTGTTCATAAAAAGAATACATAATTAAACCAAATCAAAGCTAAATTCTTTGATGAAAATCCGAACACCAAACTAGTTAAATTCAAAATCATTGCTAAAACATAGTTAATAAGCAAAATTGAAACCAATTAGTCTTTTTTTCGTCCTGATAAGGGGAAGGAAATCAACTGTCTGAAGATTTCAGAGTTAATGCAGATTCCGACATTGTAAAAATCCTAGGTTGTCTCCTCGGCAACATTGAGAGCTGGGCTTCAACAATCCCGCAGCTTTCCAAATACAATGTTTCTCGACAACTTTAGTGTGCAATCTCTAGCAATAAAACCATTACATGGGCTGAAAACCTTGAACAAGTCTTCATTGTTATCCCCTAAAACTTTATTGATGAATTGGATTCATTGAAGCAATCAACTTTTTGTCTAAACTACAAGAGAACGGCGAAGAATTCTGGTAGAACTTAACTATATGGGGTTCCGTAAGACCCAAATCTTGAAAAAGCTTTACTTTTGGCCTTAGTTGCTCTTCCATAAGTTCCAATCTCTCTTATGCTACTTTCGGTGATTCGCTGAATAAGTTATCATGGTATCAATCGTTAGAGGTCTTGGAGGTTTTTCTTTGTCTTTCGCTGCTTGAGGCCGTTAAGAATGTCGCAAAACATTTTGGGTCAACACAATGCTACTATTCACGGATCACAGTTTGAGGTTTCCTCAAGAAACGTCAGATTGTTTGAAGAAAAAAATCACTTGCCTCACTCCACATTCACTTTTAAAAATAAAAGAAATTCTCTTCATTCGAAACAAATCGACCCAAAATTCGATTTAGATTATATTATATTAATAAATTCTACAGCATTTTCAAAATAATGAAAATTAAAATTAACAATTTTGCGAACTAAAATAATTCACTAATAAGAAAGTGAACGCTATACTTGATGAAAAAAACTTTATGTTATAGGAGCAACATGTCTTACCGTAAGAAGTTATCTTCTTGAAAGTATATTAACTGGTACGATGAAACCCCCGCCTAAAGCTCTTGTTGATAATGATGATGTTACAGTTACAAATGAAGAATATGAAGAGTTTGTTGTTCAAGATAGTACTCTTACGTTGTGGTTATTATCATCTACTAGTGCTCATTTGCACCCTTAATTTGTTGGAGCAGAGACAACTTCTGCTGTTTGGAGCATGATGCTTCAATTCTTTGCAAACATGTTCACAACTGTGGTGATGAGTTTACACTACTAACTCGAAAAGGGATGACAATATTTACATTTACCGTACACAAGTCAAGGAGGTGTATGATGCATTGGCTTCTTGTGGGAGTCCACTTTCTTAAGTTGAACACATTGCAAGCATCTTTAAAGGGTCTACCTTGTAACATCGGATGATCAATCCTTTATGACCATTATAACAACTAGTAGGAAGTTTCTATCACTGAATGGTGTCTATATTATGTTGGTTGATGCAGGAACACAGTTGGTTGAATTTGTTGCTCCATATGAGAATCTGCCAATGAGTGCTCATATTGCACAAAGTGAGGTGTTGAGTAATACTTCTGGCTCAAATGGTACTCATGGTCACAAACCCTACTGTCAAACTTATTTTTTCAGTTGAAGATCTGGCGAGAGAGGTTGAGGATGTATACACTTGCTATGTCAATTGTGTAGAAAGAATGAACATTTAGTTGATCGATGTTGGCATCATTTTCATCAAGACTTCCTTGATGTTTCCTCCAGGAATAATCGCTATCACTTTAAGGGAGGATAGTGCACATTACGCTACCTATGACAATATCAATTTCAGATGTGAGTGTTGTTCTAACAACTCAATGAGCAAGAAATTTTGGATCAATTTGAACTCTTGATAGATTGTACAGGTAATGTGACTCAAATATATAATTATGTAAATTTATTAAATTTAATTTATATTTTTCATTTGATTAAAGGAATAAATTTAATTTAAATTAGAACTATATTTATAGATTACACAAATAATAAAGAATGAATATATAATTATATAAATTTATTTAATTGTATTATCTATATTTTCACTAATAGTTAATAATAAATGATTTAATTGATATATCTCAAAATAAAATAAATCAATTATTAAAACTAATAAATCAATGATTAAATCAACACTCGAAACAGTTTACCCAAAAGAAATTGTCACTAATCACTAGTCAATTTCTATTTTGTGAAGAATCTTATAACGGGATGTAATTTACCAATTCTATATTTTCTAAACAAAATACTAAACTAAAAATAAATAAAACCCAAACAATCGAACTTTTTATCTTCTTTAAGACAAACAATCAGACATTAAGGCTTAGTTTGTTTTCACTGTGCAAGCTCTTCAAATCATTTTTGTATGCGCCACGCAGACCACGCGCAAACATTAGGCTTCGCAGACTGTTTGTTTTTTAAAAGGCAGAAGCTCTTCAAACGTCTGCGCGAGCTCTGCTTAGTGCAGACATGGTTTTATGTCTTCAAAGGTCTTCAAACCTCTTCAAGAACAATTATAAAATATAATTATTTATTAAAATAATTTTAAATAATTTAATAAGGTTATTTATTTTAAAATAATTTATTTTAAAATAATTTATTATAAAATATGGATTGATTTATTTTAAAATAATTTATTTTAAATAATTTATTAGTATGGATTGATTTATTTTAAAATATAGATTGATTTATTTTAAATAATTTTTTAGTATGGATTGATTTATTTTAAAATATGGATTGTGTTGAAAATATTTTGATATTTCGATATAACAAATTAAGTTAAATGAATTTTAAGATTTTCCAAAAAGATTTTCTAAGTATATTCGATATAATTATTAGAATATCAAAATATTACTCCAAATCTTTCAAATGTCATTTTTAATCCTTACTTAAGTGTAAAATTAAGTTTTAATCTTAAAATAATTTCAAAACGATTTTAAAAAATATTTCGAACCATTTCAAAGCCAAAAATTCCAAATTGCTCAGAGGGAACCGATTCTCCCCAAGGGGGTACCGATTCCCCCTGAATGGTTTGGCTCCGAGAATTCCAGTATGCTCGGAGGGAACCGATTCCCCCCATGGGGTACCGATTCCCCCCACTGTTCAACGATCGAAATATTTGAATTTTACACTTAGGGAACCGATTCCCCCCACGCTCCAAGCTGTTTTATTAATTGATTTCACACTAAAACGCCTATATTATCTTCATTAATGATCCCCAACGTTCAGAAGTGATTCAAGGTGTATTTAAGCAAGCTTAGAAGCTATTGATCAATAACAAGAAACATCAAGCAACTATAATCAAGAGAGAATCAAAGAGAAAGCATCAAACCTCAAGTTTGAGCATTTCAAGCCTATTTTTCATTCAATTTCATTTTGCTTTCAAGAACACTTATTGTGCTCAATTGTATTCATTCTTGAGTGTTCTTTTCTTTGTTCTAAAATTGTGCAAACAATCTACCTTGTGAGGATTTCCTTGTAAGTTTGCAAATTTGTATTGTTCTCTTTGGGAGAGAGTGTTCTCAAGAATTTGGGGTATAATTCTTGAGGGTTTGTAAGGTTACTCTTTGTCCACAAAAGAAAGACAAATTAGTGAATTTGTGGAAAATCCTTAGTGTGGATAGCTAAGGTAGTGGACGTAGACTTTGGTTGAGAAAGTCAAACCACTTTAAATTGTTGTGCAATTTCTTTCAATTTTCTGCAAAAGCTTCCACCAAATTTTTTATTGCCAATTCACCCCCCCTCTTGGCCGATTCCGTCAATCGATTAACTCAACAGATTGATTTATTATTGTAGTTGTATGGATTGATTTATTTTAAATAATTTATTAGTATGGATTGATTTATTTTAAATAATTTATTTGTATAGATTGATTTATTTTAAAATATAGATTGATTTATTATTGTAGTTGTATGGATTGATTTATTTTAAATAATTTATTAGTATAGATTGATTTATTTTAAAATATGGATTGATTTATTTTAAATAATTTATTAGTATGGATTGATTTATTTTAAATAATTTATTTGTATGGATTGATTTATTTTAAAATATGGATTGATTTATTATTGTAGTTGTATGGATTGATTTATTTTAAATAATGTATTAGTATGAATTGATTTATTTTAAAATATGGATTGATTTATTTTAAATAATTTATTATTGTAGTTGTATGGATTATTTAAATTTCAGTATTGTAAAACTAAAATTATTTAAATCTCAGTATTGCAAAACTCTTTTAAGTTTAAAAAATCAATTTATTTATATTTCAGTTCATTTTAGCAGTCTGCAGACGTTAAAAAACAAACAGTCTTCTTCTTGCAGACTGCAGACTTTTAGTCCACCTCTTCTGCTGCAGATGCCTGCAGATGTGGTCCGTATACTACAGACCTTTTACCTCTGAAAAACAAATACCACCTAAGCATCAGTTGTCTCTGACAATACGAACTCTTTTCATCAATCCAAAACAGCCCCACACCTTAAAATCCCCACAATGTCTTGTCTCCCATTTAATTTCAATTTTTACCCCCAAAGTTAAACTATTTTCATCATCATAAATTTTAAAAAATAAACAAAGCCAATACCCTTCCTCCCAAAAAATATTAACACACAAAATGTCAATTAATCAATTTTTTTTTTCATTTTAAACTGCAACTCCTCAAAGCGTAATTTCCTTTGATCCCTAGCTCTCTCCTTTCCTTTGATCATGTTGCTCGTCATTCTGTGGTGGTGGTGACGACTGTTGTTGCAGTGGTACATGGTGGTTGTCGGTGGCTGTGGTGTTTATGATCTTGAGATTTTGTTGTTGTTGATAGACTTGTCTTAGTCTCTCAATTTCCTTCTTCAATGCTTCTTGATGAGCTGCTCAAAAGGTTTTAAAAACATTTTAAAGTGGGTAAAATGCTAGATAATTAATAATGTATAAAATATAATTAAATACCTTAATGCCACCTTTTGAAATAAAACTAAAATAAACAATTCAAAGCAAAATGCATATTAATTCGAATACAATATATTCAATAAATATGAATTAATATTCAATATTTTTAATATATTTGATTTTTATATTATCAACAAACCAAATCATAACATAAGATTAAAAATATTATTAATTGAATTTACTATAAATCTAGAATATGCATGTGAGAGATTTTGAGAGATAAATAAAAAATAGTATAATTAAATCATTAGTTAATTAACAAGTGTTACCATCTTTGAAAATTTTATCTTGAGCCAAAGCAGCAATCCTTTGTTTCAAAGCACTATTGTCAGCATTGAGAATCAATCTCTGATGATCCAAGAAAGCAACACTTGGTGATAATGCTGATACTTCAGTCTTCAATTTCCGTGAAAAAAAGAAACAAATCAAAACAAATTCAAAAATAAAAGTAAATTATGTTCGTATGTATATGTGTATATATACCTGTAATGTTGTAACGCTTCTTTCAAGCTGTGAGATATATTGAAGCTTTCTCACTCTTGATCTTTGAGCTGATTGCCGGTTCGCCAGAATTCTGATCATCAAGATTAAGATTTGTTAAGCTGTTTAATACAATGGGTTTTAATTATATACATATATATATAGATGGATGGATGGATGGATGGATGGATGAATTACCTCTTAACCCTTTTGGGATCAACGATGGAATCGCCATTGGAGGATGGTGGAGCTTGAGCAGCTTCTGCAGCAGAGAATTTGCGTGAGCTCTCGACCTCCCCGGGTTCATTTTTGGGTAGTTGCAGATCCATCGACGGTGCTGGTTTCTCGTCATTGTTGCTATTTTGATCCGACGGCGTCGAAGGGTTCGACGAAGATAGCGTTGGAACCGCCGTTGCCATGGTGACCGGGACATCATCGGCGAACAAGGACATGAGCTGGTCATCGTCGAGACGATCGAACATGTTCGTTTCTTTGGTGGTGGTGGTGGTCGTCATCATGACATTGGAGTCCCTGCATTCATCCACCACCAACGGTTGCTCGAGGAAGGCAATGGAGTCGCTCATGGAACGTCGGTGAGCACCGCGACGGGCGGACGAGAAGTCGAGGAACTCGTCCACCCACGAGGCCTGGTTCTGGTGGTGGATTGAAGCGTTCATCATGGCGGTGGTGGTGGAAAAGAAGTTTGCCATTGCGGGCATCTTGTCGTGAGGAAAAGAAGGCCAATTCGGGGCGCTGTGGGGTGGTGGTATTTTGGGTGGTAATTCAGCCATTCTAAAGCTAATCGTTCAAAACCCCACACTCACAAAATTTATATAAACAAAAGGGCGTTCATATCCCAACCAAACCTAACCTTTATCAATGAAAACCACCCAACTAACTATAAAAATAATAATTTATTAAAAAAAACACCCAACACAGCAATATGGTTCAAAATCTCAATGTCGTGAAAAAAAATGAGAGGATGACACTAAAACGAAAAAAGGACCCCATTACACATCATATAACACAGTCTTTGAGGCAATCCTTTCCCCTTCTTCAATTTTCCTTTTTTTTTCTTCTCGTTATTGATATCATTATAAAATAAAACACTACACTAATATGTTTGATGCATATAATATTTTTAGGATAAATTATAATTAAATTTTAATCCATGAATCAATTTTATTATTAAATTCTAAAAATGTTTCAATTTTGCCACGAAGGCATTATTCTTTCGATTATTAACTCGTTAAATAGTTAACGATAATAGTCTAGTAATGATATGTATTGATATAGAAGCCCAAAAAATTCATTCAACCTCATCACCATCTTTATGAAAATTAAGATTTTTTCATCCATTTTAGTAGTTAACTTGTCATTGGAAATTGCCATTCTCCAACGTCTTTTATAGTCACACTAGATATCGATAAACTTGTCTTATCGTTCTCTACCACTTTACCGATTTAGATTTTCTTTAAAATTTATGTAATTAAACATAAAAAAATAAATTATTTTTGGAGTTTGGGACTTTCTTAGATTTTAGGAGTCTAAGTGTTTGTTTGAAAATCTAAATGATGAACAACAATTTTTTCAATAAGTGAAATACATACCTCTAAACGAATCTCATTAGACAATCATAACATGAGTTTGAAGTACTAGAATGTCGAAACTTTAGAAAATCATATTGAAGTATTAGAATATTGAACCTTTAGATACATCAATTTTATTGATTTCGATCTTACTACAAATGACGGCTGATGAAGGGTAATAATTTACTGACATAAACGATAAAAAATTTGATATTTAACGATCAAATGAGAACAAAAAATGTCAAAAGTTTAATAAAAATGAAGTTTTTAAAATATAATGATAAAGCCAATGTATAGACTAATATTTAATGATTAGTAGTGTAGTTTGTCCTATTTTTTATAATTGATATAAAATAAATAAAAAAATTGGAATATTTAAATAAATGAAAAAAAAAGGCAATGGGAGGGAAGTCACATGAGTTGGGGATCAGGGACAGCTAGCAACAGCTTTGGGGGAGAGGAGAGAGCCCCTTGCTTTCCTTCCACTGCCAAAGTTGCGAAATATGATATTATCCTTTTTCACCTATAATATTTATATGCAAAACAATCATAGAAGTTTCATTAAAACTTAAATAAAAAGGTTTTACTTATTTATTTATTATGATTGAGGTGAGAAAACTGTGATAGTATATTGGGGGATAGTGGTATGAGCTGTGAAAGAAAGGGAAGTCGTAAGAATCATGCCCCATGTGGAGTGTTTGCAAGAGCCCTCCAGTTTTCTTTGCTTTGTCCCTAAATCACTCACATGGAGGGTGATGTGACCTTTATTTTTTTTATATTTCTATTTCCCCTCAAATTTCTTTCTAGCCACCGTCCATCATCTCTTGTGCTTTAATTCTATTTTTTTAAAAATCAATAGTGCTTAAGAAACAGTAATCATGATTAGTCGAAAAGTTTTATAGACAAAATGTAATCATTAGTGAAATTTGAAGTTTAAATCTTATTAAGATGTTAATGACTATTATTTTATGTTAATTATATATTTATTCTGTTTAAATTCATATTTTGTTTAAATCGAGGTACACGAATTTGTTGCTTTTTTATATAATAGAGCAATTTGAGTTTACTTTAATAGTTTGATTTAGTAAAAATTAATTAATATTATTACATATATAAATCAATTTTAAGTCATGAATGAAATTTAAAATTTAATTTTAATTAAGGTAATAATAAGTACTTAAATAACTGAATTAATTTATATTAACGTCATACTTTAAATAAGAAACTGGAATTATATTTATTAGGAAGTCCATTAAAATCAGTTAAAATTTTTAATAATTAGATATTACATTTACGAGATAATTTTGTATAATTTTAGTGTCCGAAAGAGAAAATTCCAAAATTAAAACTTTATACAAAGACCTTATAAACAATTATTAAATATTCTAACCAAAATACCTCAACGATATTATTATATAACAAGAGACCAAAAATTGGGATCACGATCATAGCTTTTAAAATAATCACATAATATAAAAGAAAAATTAATATTCCTGCTTTGGTGAAAATGGATTTTGCATGTGCAAACCATGAGTAATAAAAATAGTAGAAATGCTGTTTTTTTTTCTTTTTAAAAAATAATAATTAATGTAATTTTGGGATCCCAAAAATACTTTCAATAGAAGAGACGGGAAAAGTACCGACGACGCAGATTTAATCAAAAGTTGAATTAATCACCCATTTGATACATTAAAAAAATGTTTGTATATATCTATAGTTACTGTTGTTTAAAAGTAAGATTGAATTGATAATTATTTAAAAATTATTTTTATGATTGGTAATTAATATTATTATCTATTATTTTTATATACTCATATATCTCAATAAATTAGAATTGTATATACACGAGGATATATAGTTGAAGGGTTAAAAATGGTGTTTCAACTATTTTGTAGAACGAATTCACTTTCAAAGTGGTTCTGGAACTCGTATAGTTGAGGATATATGTATAGGCTATTAAAAAGTGTCCATGCCAAGGAAGCTGCCTGAATTGGACTTACTACACTACAGAGAATGATCTTTTCCATGATTTTGACATTCTCATCAACATTGTAATTGACGATGGATTCTAGGCTTTTGGCTTCGGGTAGATCGCGAAGAAACAATATATATATATACACGTGATTAATTTGGGATAAATATAAGATAATATATATTCAAAGATGACTCTCAACCATTTAACATTGAACGCTTACACACCTGATATTCATAATGTTTGAACTCGGGACATCAAATAATAATAACAATTCTTTTGTCACTGAGGTTACTTGACTCATGCTATTTGAATAAAATATTAAAAATACTCAAACTAATTTCATTTGATAATTTAAATTGATCAATCTCGAATTCTTGAAGTGATCTTAATAATTAAGGAAATTTTATTCTCCCTTGATAATCTGATTCGAATAGCGTAATCTATACGTGTACGTAAGTTTAATTCTAAATATTTTAAAAAAAAATTGTTCGATCTTGTTTCAATTATGATAATTGTATATGATATATCTAAATTATATATTTTAAATTGATGCTTCAACTTTAAAAACATTTTATGACAATATCTAAATCATAATTTTCATTTAAAAGAAATTGATATAAAGGGTTATAAAATTCGAAGACCAAAATAGAATAAAAATTAAGAGACATGGTGCAATTAAGTTTAAAAGTCAAAAGAAAAGAACTTTTCCGTTGAAATGGGTCCAAACTCAGAAATTGGGCCCACATGAATCCCATTTTCTGACCCGGAAACGGATCTTTACACTTAGATTAGGTCCCATCCCACTAATCTAAACCCATTTCTTATTTCTCTATTTTTCTTTTTTCAATTTCTAAAAATTTCTCACACCAATGCCATTGCCACCGATCTCTGCTTTCTATTAGAATTTCCTCCCAAAACTATACCTAACATTTTTATACAAAATTCCATAAAATAACCCGGCGACCCGAAATGGCGGCGTATAGAGCGGATGACGACTACGATTATTTGTTCAAGGTGGTGTTGATCGGAGATTCTGGTGTTGGGAAATCGAATTTGTTGTCGAGATTTACCAGGAACGAATTTAGCCTTGAATCCAAATCAACAATCGGAGTCGAATTCGCCACTCGAAGCATTCGGGTCGATGATAAGATCGTTAAGGCACAGATTTGGGATACCGCCGGACAAGAAAGGTACATTTTTTTTCAAAAAACTTGGTTTTCTATTTTTCTGTAATTCTGAGACCTTTGAGGAAAGTGAAATGTTTTTAGCTGGTGCTGTATTGGATTGGTAGAACTGGTGTTAGAAATTTGAATTTATTTGGTAGCCGAGGAAATATATGTAGACTAGAAATTTGAATTTATTGGTTTTAGCATATTCAAAAGACAAATTTCTTCGTTAGCATTAACCATATTCGGTTTATTTTAGAAAATTAGTATTTGTTAGGTTATATACAAAATCCCATTGTTGGCTTTACCGGTGGATGAGCCACGAAGAATTTTGCATCTTGGTTTAGTTGATAAATGTTACAGCTTTATCCATTAATGGAAAGATCGGATACTTTTATTATAACTCCTTGTTGAATCATCAACTGAATCTGTAAGCATCTTGAGAATATAGGTTTAATGAAAAAGATACCATTTGTGCGTCCAAACCATGGATCGTGGTATCATTCATCATTCATCTTAGGAGGATATGTTGTTATTATTCTTTTTTTTTTTTGTATGAAGAAGGTTCAGCCTAAGAATTGAGGAAACCGAACCATAGGTTTGTTGAAAGCCATCTCTTAAGGGACGGATATGGTAATTTTAAATTTTCAAGTGAGTCGCCCCACCCGCTCCCCTCTGTCCATCCCTGGGTGGGTGGCTCCATGAGTCAACTGGGCTACCCCTGGGTTCTAGGGACTGTTATTAATTATAGTAGTTAACCCTTTTCTAGTCTTGAAGTTCTTCACGTTATTATGAAATTTAGGACATCTTTATAGTGTCTATTTTAGTTTTGATGAATGACTTATGATCCATTAACGTTGATGCTTGGACTCGAATGAAAAGTATCTTTACATTCCTTCAGAGCGCATGTTTTCCATTCTGTTCTAACTGTCTATGATGCATCAGGCAGGGAGAAGGCTTCTGTAGCATATTCGGGTGTTTTCCAATTGAGTTTTCTAGGTGCACAGATAATATTCGCAGTGGTGTTTCTCTGGGGAAACAACACCGGAGTGTATTTCCAT